ATAAGGCAAATGAATTAACTACCTTATTATCATGAAACCTGGGATTTTCAACATGATGCTAAAGAGCTATAGATACAAGCTAGTGGTCATTAAATTAACACCCTGGGGTCCTCAACATGAAATACATGTACCAGGTAAAGTTATAATGCCTTTTATGTTTATTTAACACTTAAGTGAATTTCCTAACTCTGTCCCAGAAACAATGACCAAACTAGGAGCAATATACAACCTTAGGACCCAGACTCCCAGGTTGTGTCTTTGATTTCCCACAAAAGAAACCAAGATTCCTTACTTAGAGACCTGGGCCAGGAAAAGTATAACATCTGGAAGGAACAAAGCTATGAAAGAGTACTGGGATTAATGTCAAGGGAAGTCAGGAGGCAATATGAAGAGGCTACTTCTGACCTGATGGGCTAAAAAATTCTGAGCAATTTTATTATTGCTATGAATTAAAGCATATAAAGCATGCTTAAATCCAGGTGTTTACAACGATACTCAAAAACCTCACTGAGCCATATCTGGAGGATGATAGGAAATAAACTTACTGTATTATTAAACCTTGGAAAAGGCATTTTCCCTGCTTTTTCTATACAAGCTGTACATCAGGGCAACCAAGTAGCTGGTGAAGGTGTACTTTCTTTTTCTTTAAAGACACATGCTGGCTAATAAAGGAGAATTAAAGAATTAAAACAGCTAACTAGGTAATGAGCAATGTCTTGTAGTATCAAAAAAAAAGGGGGGGGGAGGGGCAACCAGCAATGAAGAGTCTCCTGGCTGAAACACATCACATGAATGTCAAGGCTGAGTGGTATATGTCAAGGCCGAATACATAGATCTCTAGATCTAACTACTGATTTTATAGGACATATAGGAAAAGAGAAGCATTTTAAGTGACAACAAATTTGTCAGGAGTTGTATAGGCAGATGACCCAGTTTTTCAGCAAATACATTGTAAGGGATAAAAAGAGACCTGGATAAGAAGCAGACACTAGAAGTAAGTATCAATTAGGGGAAATTCATGAGTCTAATTTGAACAAGCAATAATTCAGTCAATAAAAGGATATATGAATATATAAGTATGCTACAGGGGTTTACTATAGGTGCCAATCTATACAATGGGATGTAAATATATAGCTATGTATGTTTGTTTGTATATATATAACTAGGGAGATTTGAATACAGACAAGATTTTGGTAATATTAAGAAATGGTTAATTTTTTAGGTATGATGAAAATACTGTTTAAAGAAAGTGAACTACTTATGGAAAAATACAATGAAATAGTCACAGGTGAATTGGTACAATATAGGAATTTGTTCAAAATATTGGGAGGTGGTGAATGGAAAGATTCATTAGCAATAAGTTGAGATTTAGGTAAACAGGCAATCATTGGAACGAATCTCTCAAATTCAATATGAGACTAAATATTCTATAATATTCTAAGTTAAAAACTATGAATAAAACCATTTTAAAAAGTATGCAGGTAATATTAACAAGATGTAATTTAGAGCACTGACAAAGACATTTCAACTAGAGTTTCTTTCAAATATAGTTTCTGAACAACTAATATCCTAATTAACCTCAAAGATTAAAGAAATCATCACATATTCCTCAAGACTGGAGTGGAGAAATAGGGATAAAAAGGTAAGAACCATGTTTAAACACTGTAAGGATGGGGGCTGTGCATCATTCACCTACATTTTATGTCCATGCCTGACAGAAGTAACTCAAGAAATATTTGGTGAATTAGTCAATGACTCTTAGCCTATTTGCTTTCATAATAGTCATCTGAAAACAAATAGGCTAAGCTTAACAGCAGCTAAATGCTGGATGTGCAAAAAAAAAATCATCATTCATATTTGATATTAAAACAAAAATCACTTAGGTTACTGAGTTTACAGAGCACGGCTTTCTGTTTCAAGTGGAATGGGTTTTCATCAGAGCCACAGATTAGTCACTTCAAACAGCTACAAGTAAACTCCCAGAATAAAAATAGTTTTAAATACACAATTGGGTGGGGTGTGGCTAGCAAATATTCTGATTCTACAATCTGTTTTTGAACAAGACGACCTTCTTATGTGACTAACAAAGCAAACAGTAGTCAGATTCCCTGAGCTGAAATAAGTACACTGTTTATAGAAAAGGCTGAACGTCCAGGCTTATCCAATAGCCAAAGTTGAAGGGGAATATAGAATGACAAATACCCATATATATTTACATGTATCTCTCAAAAAGCATACAACCAGCTGCTATGGATATGGATTATGGAGACAAGTTCACTGTCTGACCAAGGGGAATATAACAATAGCTCAAGCATAAGCACAGCCTAATTTTAAAGTAGTACTGAAGCTTAGAAAAGACAAAAAACAGCACCTAGGTTAAAGTGAAAAGTTCTGAAAATACTTGGAGGAGATATTGAGGAACAAATGGTCTACCCAGTTGCACAATATGAGCTGAGAATTAATCTTCTTTCATATGATGATAACTGTAAGGGTATTTGTTTCAACTATAAACAAATACATGCATGTCTGTGCAACTGTAATACACACTATTCTAATGATGTCTTTCAAAACAAATTATATAGTCTAACATACAGTGGATCTATGGATACAGAGCATCCATATGTCACTGTATCTACTATTGCAAAGTCTTCTTCAAATAAATCAGAAGTAGATGAAGGAACCTATTTCTCTTATTTATCTTTTATGGTCTTGAACAGATATAATGGAGTGCCTAGTAGGAATAAAAAGTAATTCCAAAAGTTATTTCAAATGATGAAAGAATGTTTAGAATATAAATTTTTCTAATCCTCCTGATAATCTGAACTAATGATCATATTTCATATTTATCTATGAGTTTTATATATAGAATTGTGTGATGACATGGAGATTTTTAAATATGGCAACAAATAAAATTTTAAAAAATGGGCAGTGGTATGAGTTTTTCATTTATAAGGAGGTACACAAAGTTTAGAATACACATACAAAATTCAGTGTGAGGTGAGGGGAAAAAAACAAACTTTTATTCACTGGTCAAAAATTCAATTATGTTAGTTATTGATTAAACAGTTAATCAAATGAATCCATCCTACTTTAATTTAACAGAAATTAAAAAGAAAATTTATCTATGCATGTGTGTAGAATTCTTTCATACTACTTCATCTATGCTGATTTGATTTCACTTATATCCAAATGATTACATTAAATAAGATATAAAATTTGGCCATTTTAATTCCTGTTTTTATGTTATTCTTTAGATCCTGAAAACTGAGCTTCCTTATATTAAAGGGACTATTAATCACTGAAAATGACAAAGATAATATGTATTTTCATCTCTGGGAAAAAATAATGATTCTAACTGGTTTCATTAATTAGTAGGAAATTACAAAGTAAGCCAATGATATTTGTAAAAAAACAAAAAACTGAAAGCAAAATAAGAAAATTTTTTCTCTGAAAAAAACAGCAAACTTGTATGAATTGACATAAAATCAGGTTCAGGAATTTTTCAATGTCAACTATAGCTTTAAAGTAAAATCCAAAACTAAGCAATAAAATCTGAAGCCATTTACTGAAAATTATATTAATAGTCAATAATCTATAACCTTAGGCTGAGGTGCTAACTCTGCTATCAATTCATGTCTGTCTTACTTCTGTCTGAAATATTAAAAATATTTTTGCAAACATTTAAAATATAAAATATTTTCTCTATACAATATACTTAAGCAATCATATTTTTAAATTACTATTTAGATATTCACCTCAATTAATAATTTCTTAGGACTTATACTAAACGAATATTTGCAGTAACAGACACCTACATTTTCACATTTGTTTCTTTCAAACCTAATAAATCAGAATTAGGATAAGTCATTATTTCTCCTAAAATTTTTACAAAAAAGTTAAGAAAATTAATGCACACATTGATGGCTAGATTAAGAACAAGAATTTCCATGATGGTTTAAATCCACAATCACCTCTGAAACACTCCTGCCCCTATTTTTATATATTATCAAAATTTTTCAACTAAATAACACAAAAATATACCTTGTAAAAAATACAAGTATCATCGCATTGAGAACTAAGCCAAATGTTTGTGTAGTAACTTTTAAAATAAAATCACAGAAGAAGATGTACATGGTTAAAACTATTAATATATATTTAAGACAAAGAGTTTATTTTTGAGCAAGAAAATAAGGAACAAGAGAGCCCAACCTGATGTTGTATGTCTGCCCAATAGAACTTTCCACCATAATTAGTGCTTTCCACTTCTGGGGGAGGAGGAGCTTCAACTCAGGGTAACCTCATGTAGTAAGGGAAAAACAGTATAAATACTTCAGGACAGCTCAGCAAAGGGCACCTCTGCCCTGCTCACCTGGGCACAAGGCTCTCTGAAAGCTGCCAAGGAAGCATCCCCAGGAACTAGCTAGCCCCAGGTGAGTCTATGCCTTGAGCTCCCTGGTGGGCTGCCATGATAGCTTTATCTGGAAACTAGCTTCAATAAATTAACTACCTGTCCTGGTATTTTTAAACAATGGCTTTTTAAGAAAATGCTTTCAGAAAGTTTAACCTGGATTAGTTTATATAAAAGATAGTCTTAGAGCCATTTTTGTAAAAAATCATATCTTACACTGAATTTTAGTGTATTTTGAAACTTGGGTATTTGTGTTTAGCAATATCTTATCTTTATCAAGCGCTACATTATTTAATACAAATATCCAATTATGGTTTCTATGGGGTTTATTTTGTAAATTACTTAATTTGTACTTGACACCTGGATATAGTTTAAGGCAACTAAGACATAGCTTCATATAAGTAAAAAATTAATTTATGGAATATATTTATTATATCTAACACTTAATATGATATATAATAATATTGTCATCAATTTATGGAATATATTCAAAATGTCTAGAATAAATTAAAAAATAAATAACTATATGAGGAATTTATCTGTGTAGCATCAAAAAAATATATAACAGGTTGATTACAAAGCTGTAAGAAATTATCCTTTTTTTTTTTTTTTTTCAGAATCCATCTAAGAACATGCTGCCACAAATAGCCTTTTTGCTGCTAATGTTCCTGAACTTGGTTCATGGAGGGTTTTATGCTGAGCGGTACCAAACACCTACAGGCATAAAAGGCCCACAACCTAACACCAAGACACAATTCTTCATTCCCTATTCCATAAAGAGCAAAGGTAAACCAAGTGTTTATTTTGCCTTGTTACTATTTGGTGGGTGTTTTCTACAATCTTCAGTGGTTGCTTTGACAAAAGGTTTTTAATTGTCTGGTGTTAAATTACTTTCAAACCTCTGAATTAGTCCTAAATGTTATAACAAAATGATTTATAAAGAAGCCAAGAACCTTAATATCCTTTACACAGTTAAGTCTAGTAGCATGTAATCCCTGAGGAATATTATGAAGTTTATGTGTAGAATCATTTTTCCTCAGATGATGCTTTTGCAGTAATAACTATCCACCAATCCCATCAAAATCAATCAAGTTTACTGTTTTAACTAAAAATTACTGCAAACTGTACAAAAAAAATGTAGCAGGCTTGTGTAGCTAAACACTTCACACATTTACTTTTAAAATCTATTCAGCTAATTCACAAATATCTACAAGATTGAAGCTTTATCATTAAGTAAAATCTGATGCTCTCCAAATAAATTTCAACAGGTAAATGAAGTAGCAATTATCTTTTTAAAAATTTGTTTTTTGTATAATTTAGTAGTTAAGCACACAGATTAGCTAGCTAGCTATGTGTTCTTGAATTAGTTATTCTCTGTGTGCCTTAGTTTCTTCTTTTGTAAAATAAGCTGCAGTTATCTCAAAGCTTGAGTGAGTCAGTATCTGTAATGTATTTAGCTGTTAGCTATTGCTTCTATTTCTGCTACTATTACTTCTATTTGTGTTATGTCTACTGGAACAGTACTTGTGGGCAGTCTTAGATAAGTTTTAGATTTTTTCCTGAATCCATTCCTCATCTCTTCAGCTTTCTTGCTCACTGCGAAGAGAACTAAAATAATGTACATAAAGTATTAAAAGCTCATCAAAGAAGGGTGTTTGGCTTCAGCAACTCCATTAAAGATCATCAGATACAAACTGCCTGAAAAATATCTGCAGAACTAAACTGAATGATATGCAGTGATATAGCATTCATGTTTCTCTCCCATGGCATATTTTCATTATAGTTACATATTTAAACTTTTGCTCATTGATAAACATATTGCTTTTAATTGTTTTTATCTTTTATAATGTTTTTCTTCTGTACTTGATCTTAATGCTTTAAAAAATTGTATTGTTTTTTTGAGGTAATGTTAGTTTACAAACTACGTAATTCTTCAGACATATGCCCATCACCACCCTAAAGATACCTGCCATAGACTTTAAAAATTATGCTTTTAGAGATGGTCACTTTGGGTAAATTAAACCTATAAGGTTATCTTTTCAAGAAGATGAAATTTAAAATAGTTCATGAAAGTCAGCTTAACACTTTAAAATAAATGCACAGGTATATAGCAGATATTCTTAAATGTGTCAAAATACAAGAAAGAAAGAAGTAAAGAATGAACAAGAGAAAGGAAACATGCCACTTTACTTCAAGCCACAAATGTAATTTGAAATACCATGGCAAGCAGCATAGACTATCCATGATCACAAATTCAGACTTTCTGTGCTTATTCCAAGACCAAAACAATTGTGAATTCAAACTAAAATGAAACACTTAAAAAATTATCTGCCTATTTTTGTGTAGAACTCTCTTGCAGTTCAGAGGTGTGGGGAGAAGAGTGAGAGGATTCACCATAGGCAGAGTGGGGAGCTGAACAGGGAGATCCACTGAAATACTTGTCTAAGAGAAGTAGCAGGCGAAACAGGGAGGTCTGCTGCACCATACATAGGTCAGCTCCCTGGCCAGGGATCAAAATCAAGCCATTCTGGTGAAATTGCTGAGACTTAATCCCTAGGCCACCAGGGACACCCAAAAATGTACCACTTTTATAAGGTTCTATCTTCCCACCTTAATGTACTGCATGATCTTGACTATTTTTTGCATCAGTATTTTGTTAACAAATTAAAATAATTAGGAGCATTTTAGTTAGGAAATCTATCTATCTTAGACTACTTGATCATACAAAGATAAAACTCAAATTCATTATTATCTACTGGCAGGTAAACCAAGACAAAAGGCCAGCATTTATATAAAAGCAAAACACTAAGTTCCTATGCAATCTCTAGGCACAGAGAGCCTGATGCAAAGAATTCCACAGCTGGTGAGCATGAAGGTGCTGGTTATGACACAACCAACCATTAGGTCCAGGTGTGGGGGGGGGGGGGAGAAATTTTTCTGCTGGATAGCAGTTTTCCCTTGAGGATACCACCACCCTATCAAATCACAAACAGAGGTTGTCCTCATGGGCACACAGAAGTCACACTCTTTCCTGAACTGGAAAGGGAGGATCCACTACACCAATATTCTAAGTGGCAACTCTGTCCTTGAGCTGTATTCGCAAATGATGCTCGATACAGTTGCTTCTAATAAGACTCCACTCAGATTTGTTTTCTTCTGTTTTAATAAACTGATTTCCAACCAGCCTCAGACAGTTTGTAATATATCAATTCCTTCATATTATAGATGTACTACACTAAAGTTAACCAACAATATATATGCTAAAATTAAAACATGTTTTCCTAAATTAGCTTTTTTCAGTCTTTTACTTGGTGTCTTTTCTGAAAAGCCATGATTAAAAGCCTCATATGTTAAAGGTTTGCAAAATGAAATATAACTTCAATTAGTACAAAATGCAAAGTTCTCCAAGTTTAAAACAATTTTCCTATTTTAGCGATTCTCCTCTGTATATTGCATTTGTTATCAAAAGTTTTTCAAATATCAAAGCATCTCTCTACCCAAGAGAATAATACTAGTAACTAATATTGGCTAACTGCTTCTTACATGACAGTTAAAAATTAAATATGAAGGATTTTAAAACAACTAAAAGCTAATAAAACTAATGAGAACTATAAAAAAAGTTTCAAAGGCAATTTCAACTCAGTATTAATTTCAACTTGGTATTCATTTTGAGTTTTGAAAGCATTAAAGTTTAGATTCAGTTTAAAGATTTAGAGTTCAAATATTTGTGTTTAATTAAGACTTTACACGATTAAGCATATTAATTATATTCACACACACACTTAAGATGTGGCTCAAAAGACATAGCTGTAAGTCATTTTCAGGGTTTTCATCAAACTATTAACCTCCTGTGACATCCACTATATTTTTCACTGCTTGGACCATTTTCAGACAGCATACAACCCTAAATGGTATATTTTTCTAAAAACTTACTAAGCGGAAGATGATTTTAATATCAAATTGTGCTAGTAGATATTTAAAATCATATGGCCACCTTTGCTGGCTAATAAAGCCATTATTTAGGCTGGCTATTAAAAAATTTCTCTGAGAAAGACTTTTTGAAGATGCTTATGAGACAGCTGCCTAAAAATGCATCAACATGGGAATTCTTCCCTAAGGGAATACCCTCAAGCCAGCAAGGCTCTGTTAACACCCACCTTTGAAAGCCTGAAAACTGGCCTTGGGCCGCTCTCAAAGCACTTATCACAGGGATGCTTGGTTTTTACTCCCATTTTGACTGAAGTCCTTATTGGATTCACCCTGTGCTTTCTCTACACTTCTGGCCCAGTAGCACTATAAGCATCACAGGCACTAAGTAAGTGCTTCTGAATTTAAGTTTATAGTATCATTTGAAATATTGAGCTCAAATGAACCCATGTATCCATGAAATCAACAATATTTATTTGCATTAATCTAAGCAAATTTCCGATAGGCACTTTTTACTGTTTTTGTTTTTTTTTTAGGTCTACTGCTAATTCTTTGTTCCAATTTTATCTTGATAATGAAGAGTATATTCATTCACAGTATCTACTGAGGAGGAGAGGAAATCAACCTAAGTATAAACTGTGTTCAGCAGGACCACAGCTGATGTAAATAAGAATTCACTGCATTATTCATTTTATGTTTTAATGTTAAGCTTTTGTGAGGGAAACCATTACTTTTCTTAGACATTTCCCATGATGCATTTGTCGTTTTCTTCCTTTTCTGTCAAAGACTTTTTTGCTTTCTAGGCAGATGATTTCCCCCAAAATAACTGTGATAAACTTATCTCTACTGCACTCATTCTAGATGGGTTCAATCTCAGTTTTTTCAAGGGTTGTTAGAGGTGATGCAAGAATTACAGTCACTGGAAGTTTCTACCTGTATGGATTGACTGATACAGCACTGGTTGGCTGTGATTCTTATTTTGAAATGCAATGACTATTCTTAATATCACTAACTGTCCCTTTCTCTGGATGTGTGTACTGGCTGTGTCTTTTAGGTATACCAGTAAGAGGAGAACAAGGTGTTCCTGGTCCTCCAGGCCCCACTGGACCTCGAGGGCACCCAGGTCCAACTGGACCACCTGGAAAACCAGGCTATGGAAGTCCTGGGCCCCAAGGAGAGCCAGGGTTACCAGGACCACGGGGACCACCAGCCACTGGGAAGCCAGGTTCACCAGGATTACCAGGAAAACCAGGGGAGAGAGGACCATACGGACAAAAAGGAGATATTGGACCAGCCGGTTTACCCGGACCACGGGGCCCACCTGGGCCACCTGGGATACCTGGTCCAGCTGGAATTTCTGTTTCAGGAAAACCTGGACAACAGGGACCTACAGGAGCCCCAGGACCCAGGGGCTTTCCTGGAGAAAAGGGCCCACCAGGAATCCCTGGTGCAAATGGGCAGAAAGGGGAAACAGGACATGGTGCTCCTGGCCGCCCAGGTGAGAGGGGCCTTCCAGGTCCTCAGGGTCCTGTGGGACCACCTGGCCCCCCTGGAATGGGAAAAAGAGGTGAAAATGGGTTTCCAGGACAGCCAGGTATCAAAGGGGATAGGGGCATTCCAGGAGAAAGAGGACCAATTGGTCCACCAGGCCCCCAAGGTCCTCCTGGGGAACGAGGACGAGAAGGCATAGGAAAGCAGGGAGCTCCTGGCACCCCAGGCCAGCCAGGAGTTCCAGGAACAAAAGGTTATCCTGGGGCTCCAGGAGTTGCTGGGCCCCCAGGGGAGCCTGGCTTTGGGAAACCAGGCTTGCCAGGCCAGAAAGGACAAAGAGGACCTGCTGGTCTTCCAGGTGGTCCAGGTGCCAAAGGGGAGCAAGGCCCAGCAGGTCGTCCTGGGGAGCCGGGTCTGCCAGGGCCCCCTGGAAATATGGGCCCACAAGGACCAAAGGGCATCCCAGGAAATCACGGGATCCCAGGTTCTAAAGGCATGACAGGGCCAGCTGGTCCCGCAGGACACCCTGGGGCTAAGGGAGAGAGGGGGCCTTCTGGGTTAGATGGCAAACCAGGGTACCCAGGAGAACCAGGTCTCCCTGGTCCTAAGGGTAACCCAGGTTTACCAGGCCCAAAAGGTGACCCTGGAGTTGCAGGGCCTTCTGGTCTCCCAGGCCCTGTTGGCCCAGCAGGAGCTAAGGGAGTGCCTGGACACATTGGTGAGACTGGTCCAAGAGGTGCCCCAGGAATACCGGGTACTAGAGGCCCCATTGGGCCACCAGGAATTCCGGGATTCCCTGGATCTAAAGGGGATACAGGACTTCCAGGTCCTCCTGGTCCAGCTGGCATAGCAACTAAGGGTCTCAATGGACCCACTGGGCCACCAGGACCTCCAGGTCCAAGAGGCCACTCTGGAGAGCCAGGTCGCCCGGGGCCCCCTGGGCCTCCTGGTCCCCCAGGCCAAGCAGCTCTGCCTGACAGCTTTGTAAAGGCAGGTCAAAGGCCCAGTCTTTCGGGGATGCCTCTTGCTAGTGCCAACCAGGGTTTAACAGGAATGCCAGTGCCTGCTTTCACTGTTATTCTCTCCAAAGCTTACCCAGCAATAGGTAGACCAATTCCATTTGATAAAATTTTGTATAACAGACAACAGCATTATGACCCAAGAACTGGAATCTTTACTTGCAGGGTTCCAGGAATATACTATTTCTCCTACCATGTGCATGTGAAAGGAACCCACATGTGGGTGGGTCTGTATAAGAATGGCACCCCCATAATGTATACCTATGATGAATACAACAAAGGCTATCTGGACCAGGCTTCAGGGAGTGCCATAATTGAGCTCACAGAAAATGACCAGGTGTGGCTCCAGCTGCCCAATGCTGAGTCCAATGGCCTGTACTCCTCAGAGTACGTCCACTCCTCTTTCTCAGGATTCTTAGTGGCTCCACTGTGAGCATATTTCCAATGAGCTAATATAAAAATCTGCTTGAAAAGGTATTCATCCCCCAATTCCATCCCGCCCCAAAATGCATATGGAGGTAGGCTAAAAAAAAAAAAAGTAACTAATTTTAACTATCTAAAATACAGATTTGAGCTTTCAGATGGAAGTAATGTCCCCTCGACCCCGAGAAAGTGGACAACAGTAATAAGTAATGTGTGAAAACCCTCACAAATTTCTAGTCAGCAATCCTAAAACTCTTCAAGTTTTCTGTGAAGTCCTTCCAGATCTAAAGGTCTCACCATACAGGTCCTGCTTGGCTAAAAATACACAATGATCACATATGAAAAATCACCCCTGAAATGTGATGCCAAATTATGTTAGATTTGATTTCAGAAACTCACCATTTCCTTTCAAAGTAAGCATGCTCTAACAGTTAACAGAGGAACTTCCAGGAAACATTCAGGAGGTATCACTTATCTTTATAGAACTTAAATACTTGAATATTCAAATTTAAGACACTGTAGACCCTAAGATATTTCTGATGGTGCATTACTCAAAGGCTTATATGGCCCCCTTCATAAAGATCACTCAGATATACAGGTGCACATAGATGTTTTACAGCTCTCATTAAAAAACCAAACATTACATTAAATTTAATCTGAAATGCAAGGTGCTTTAGTCATGAACCTTTCAAACATTGCTGTGACTGCAGAACAGCTTTCGATATACCCTTCCCAACTTGGAAATGGGTGTCTGGCCTATTTTATTTATTTAATACAAGTGTGATTCATTTAATTCCTCATTGAATCTTACACAATATGATTTTGTGGGTTTACAGAACATTAGACGACCTGCCGTGAGCCTCCCGTTCCAGTGAAATTAAAACTAACATCAAGGGTTTTGAAATCTGACTAGAAATGAAAAGACATTATTTATTTATGCTCTGTACTGTATTTTTATATTGCTGTTTAAAACTTTTAAGCTGTGCCTCACTTATCAAAGCATGAAATGTTTTACCTACTCCTTATTTACAATGCAGTTAACATCAATAAAATAACATCAATAGACTTTTATGCTGAATTTACTCAACAGTAACAATGTGTTAATCTCAATCATTCTCTCTAAGGTCTTTCATTTTACAAAATTTATAAATGAAATACTAAGGTGGTGGGGTGGCTTCCACACCTGTCACAGATGCTCCTTTTTATTGGAAACAGGCATTCCACACGCCCAGTTCCTCAGTCTAGACTAAAAACTACCCACAGAACCACAAGCGACCCTAGGCCAAGATGAGGGGCTGAAGACTGGGCATAGAAAACCTTGACAATCCCCTTAACAATGACTCTCTCCTGGGAAGAAAAGAGGCAGGTGGCAGGAAAAAGATGTAGTTTGAACAAACACTGCAGCTATTACTTAGTGCCTTGACATGTTTTCAGTTATATTTAGGATTATTTTGATGGCTTACATTACGTTAAAAGGAAGGCAAACAATTTTATGTCAATCACAAGGCAATTTTTTCTAAGTTAAGAAACACTGCTCCTGAGAATCCATTAGGACTGATCAAGTCCCTGGAGCAACCTGACATAAAGGTTGCTCTCTTTTTACACCTTAGAATTAACCCTGTGGGACCCAAGCAAACTTGTGGATGGAACTGTGAAAAGTTAGGCGCAGGTTTGCAATACCTCTCCTATTCTGAGCCAGCCAGCCAGCTCTGTATTTAAGCAAGAGAATGGAACTTTCACTTTCTCCACCTGTCTACAACGACCACACTAAAGGTTACAGGTGTCACAAACCCTCATTCCCAAGCCATGAAATGCAAAGCTGGAATGTCAATGCTGGGAAACTCATAGAACAACCTTACTGGCATGCATGGGAAGAAAAGCAGTTAAGAATACTGGCAATTAGATTCATGAAACAGACACGTAAGCTTAAATAACTTGACAGCAAAATTTAAGATCAGATTAAATCCTAACTAAGAAACATAGCAAATAGTTAATTTCTGTGTAATTTACTAAATAGAAACCATTCAACAAACATCTACTAGAAATCTATTAGAAAGTGTGTCTTCACATTACTTACCCTTAAAAGCTGACATTTTATAATTGTGTTGTATAGCAGCAATTACATCCTTCCAAAAATCAAAAGCTTTTTGACCGTTGTTCTTCTAAAAAAAAATAAAATCAAAATATAATACATGTAAAAGATCTGTTTTTAAGCAAAGTAGAAAACTGGGAAACATAATAGTATTGTATTCTAAAATAGGGACTCTTATTTCAGAAAACATAATATCCTAATAAACATCTCATTCTAACCATGATTTCAGAAAAAGAAATCTTCCATGACAATCGTTATTGCAGAGATACCTACATTTGTAACCAAAATAAAACAAATAAAATAAAAATTTCTACTCACTATATAGTAGTTAAACATATGAGTGAGTTTATAATGTTATAGTTTTTGAGATAGCAGAACATGTTACTTCATGCATTATGGCATCAACAGTAGCTAAGAAGCTTAAAGCCCTAAAACCATCAAACTTGAGAATTCAGTTCAAATTTACCTGAATTTCAATTTAAAAGAGCAACAAATCTCTACAGGAGAGATGAAGAAAATTTCAAATCCAAACTACAGATTATTTTTAAGACTTTTTTTAAAAAACATAAAGCAGGGCCCTCCCTGGTGGTGCAGCGGGTTAAAGCACTGCACTGAGAAGCTAAAGCCACTTCCGCATGAGTTCGATTCCCGCCTGCCCCGGAGGTGACCACATGGCGTGGCAGACCTCTCCTGACCCGCCCCTCAGCAGTGCACTTCGTCCATCTGCCTGTTCTGTCCCCCACTCTGTCTCTGGTGAAGCCTCTCACCGCCCCCGAGCCTCTGACCTGTACCCCAGTTCTGTATGTACAATAAATAAATCTTTAATAAAAAAAAAACATAAAGCAAATAAACATATTAAATACAACCCTACACTCACTGATTCTTTGGAAACATTAACTAGTGTCCTGCCTAAACTAAGACCAACTAGAAGAATATAAAGCTGACATATTTAAAGATTATGAAATTTGCTGCAGTCACTATGAAATGAGAAAGTTACTTCTTTTTAGGTTAATGACAACTTCGATAAACATACCAGAAATATTTTTCAACAGGATCTGTTACAAAAACCATCAGAACTCTGATTTAAAAGGAGTACTACCTTCATTCTATTATGAACATGATTAATATAAATTTTTTTAAAGATTTATTTATTCATGCATACAGAACTGGGGTTACAGGCCAGAAGTGCGGGGGCGGTGAGGGGATCCACCAGAGACAGAGTGGGGAGCCGTCAACAGCAGTCCGATTGATGAAGTACACTGCTAAGGGCAACAGTGGGTAGGTCAGGAGAGGTCTGTTGTGCCACATGGGTCACCTCCGGGGTGGGCATCGAAGTGGCTTTAGCTTCTCAGGGCTGGGCTTTAACCCGCTGTGCCACCAGGGAGGAGCCAATTAATATGATTTTTAAAAGGTAACATATACAAAAAGTTAAGTGATTGACAAAAGTGGTTCATGTTCATGGCCTTAAGTTCTATGTATAAAGTGACAGAGCCAGAGATCATAGTACCATGCTCAACACTAAAAAATTTCATCTCACTTTTCTGGTTTATATTATATAGAATGCTTAAAGGCACATGGAATTGTCTTAGAAACCTTTACATTTTAAAAATTCTAATGAGATGAGGTGCTATGTTTTCTTTTGCTAGACTTTTGTACCCTCTGCTGGAGAATAAGTTTACCATCTTTGGGGAGGATTTAAATGGTCAGTGCTATTTAATTTTCCAAAAGTACTTTGACCCCGGTTCTTTGTGTTCCTCAGTTACCTCTGAAACCACAAAGAGGAAACTGTGTAAAAGACCTCAACTCAAGAGATATAAATAACAATTCCATTAACTTATTACTAAATACATGACATAATTACTAAAAACTTAGTTCCCATTCTACTCACCTTTGTTAAGAAATCCACCACTCTGGCGCACAGAAGGGCCCCTGGCAGATCGAAGTAGTTATCATAAAAATAGTATTTTCCTAAAAAAGAACAAAACTTTACATTGGGAACAATGAATGCCTTATTTACGTAGCATACACAGAAAGTTGGCTGAAGAGGTACTAGATTTTGGGTTAGCTTCTAAAAGGAGCCTCATCCTTGGTTCCAAATGGTTCCATTACAAGCCATCATTGTCTTTTAAAGAATGTTTAAGCTACAAGGGGACAAGAAAGTTCAAATATTATATCCATAAATTAAGCATTATTTTTTACAGTGTAAAAATAGACTATCGCCCAAATATAAAATGGATCATGCAAAAGCCACTATGTGTTATAAATGTCACTGAATTAGAAGAGCATCACCTAACACTGCAGACAATGAAGTGTGCAGACTCTGTCATCTCTGTCTGTGCTGAGGCCCACCTGCAGTACTGTATTCAATTTTTTATAAAGATTTATTTATTCATGCATACAGAACTGGGGTACAGCCAGAGGTACAGGGGCAATGAGAGAATTCACCAGAGATAAAGCGGGGAGCAGAACAGGCTGACTGATAAAGTACACTGCTGAGGGGAACAACGGGCGGGTCAGAAGAGGTCTGTTGTGCCACATGGGTCACATCTGGGGCTGGGTATTGAACTCATGTTGAAGTGGCTGCGGTAGCTTGCAATGCTGCACTCAAACCGGTTGCACCACCAGGGAGGGCCCCTGCATTCAATTTTTATGTGATTTCAGACAAGCAGATGAAAACAAGCAGGGTGATAAGAGGAATAAAATTACTGAAGACATCTGGGATAACAGAACAGTCACACTCAAGGATCCAGAAAGGAGAGAACTTGTTGTAACCTGTTCGGCTTCAGGTAGAATTAAACTCAAGCCCCTCCTAGCACAGTTGATACCTGAATCTACTGTCCTTGTGCAGACACCCCTTGTATACAGACCACCCCTCTCCACGCCCCCCACCCAAGCCCATATCTGTGTCCATTCAGCATAAGAACACCTGTGTCACTTGCCTTCTCTGGAAGCTCCTGGAGCCTATACAGCAAGTCTTGACCAACAGAGTCAGGAGTCAAAGAAGGAATGGACCCCTATCCCACCACTAACAACTATGGAAGGTATTCCCTGTGTTTTTCAAAGTGCCAGTTTCAGAACAGAGTCTCAATTCTTTCCTTTCCCAGCACCCTCTCCACTATTCCAATTGGGCTTATGGGACCAGAAGCACCCACTTGGCTTTGGGGAACCAATGTCACAGGGTACTCAGCAGAAAGAGTCAAAGAAGCAAGAGTGGAGTTGGGGCCTTCCCTGGTGGCACAACAGGTTAAAGCACAGCACTGTGAAGCTATCCAAAGCCACTGCAGCATGAGTTCAATCCCTGGCCAGGGAGTTGACCCACATGGCAAGGCAGACCTCCCCTGATCCTCCCACTGCTCCCCTCAGCAGTGTACAGATCTGCCTGTTCTGCTCCCCGCTCTGTCTCTGGTGAATCCTCTCACTTCCTGCTCCTCTGGCCTGTACCCCGGATTCTGTATGCATAAATAAATCTTTTTTTAAAAAAGAGAGAGATGGAGCCAGATTTTAGTTTAAGAAAGGTATTTTTAGTGCCCATAACTACTCTTGCACAGTCTAATTTACTGACTTTCAGTCCCCCTTCCTCCTATTTGTAAGATATTTATGATGTTATGGGTCATAGACACCCTATTTCTCAGGGTAAACTCTGCACAATATCCAGATATGTAGGAACATCACATATGCCTGAGAATGAATGAGTTATCCAGAAATAGAGTAAATGCCTCTGGAATGAAGAAGGATCACAGGTAAATTAGGAGAAAACCCTCTGCAGGGGGCCTGGTGGCTACTCTTTTTAAGTGTCACCGATGTCTTGTTTCTCCCTGTTAAACTGTTAAAAATGCATAAGAAATAAAGTCAGAGTTCTTCATTAATCCTGCTTCCATTTGTGTATTCTTTCCTTTGGTTAAAAATATTTTGGTTGGCACGGTTTTCTTGTTTTTTTTTTTTACTCTTTCACAGAAAATTGTTAGGGAACATCTCAGACTATTTTTCATTCCTATGAAAGGTTAGGGTGGCTTTGCCAGGAATCCAGAGGCAAAGGGAGGTGATGTCCATGGACATTCCTGCCCACACTCTGCTATGTGAGACAACTAGTGCCCCAGGGCTGCAAGACCAGCAGGGTACGCAGAGTTCCTCAGGTTTTGTTAAGCTGTGCCCCATCTTATTTCTTGGACTGTGACAACAAAGTGGTCTCCCTGACACTGACAACCAGTCGTCTGAAACGTCCTGGGAGCAAGAGGCATTTCATTATTGTTTCAGTGTCACTCACTACTATGCAAACCTGCTTAAGCCCCGCTCTCCTTCTCCTTTGTGGGCATTAATGTGTGAAATACAGTTTAAGACCTGAAATACTGATTATGAGTCTTGGTTGGGGTCTAATCATACAATTCAGGGGGTTAATGGGAAGGATTCACTGACTCCCACCCATAAGGCACAGTGTGGGCACAGTGCCACTTGTTCAGACTGGACTTGTTAAGTGGGCCAAACTGCTCTTAATTCTGCTGCCAAAACCAAAATTCCAAAACTGGGCCACATAAAAGCTTCAATCCTCAACCTCCTACAGAGCAGAGAACTCACTGGGAAGTGAAGGTTATTGAGCTTAGTTCAACAGAACCAGACTCTGAATCAAGATCAAGTTCTACAATCATTAAATTTTGCATATAGAAAAGGCAATGTCATTGTCAACACTAACCTCTTTGAAAACTCAGTGCCAGTGAAACCATGGCACATGAATAACTATAGGGAAGAGAACGTCTGATGTGAACATAAATTCTCCCTTCTCTGCAGAGAAGTGGACTTATCTCCATTTAAAGATGAAGAAACTGACACTACACATGGCTTAATAATTTACCAGTTACTTTATCCTGCAAGTAACAGAGTCAGTATAATCCCACAGTAACTGGCTCTGAGACTCTTGTGGGTTCCACAAGACCTTGTTGTTTCTGCAGAATTTATCAGGTCTGGGGAGAAAAAGATCAAAAGGACTTGCTCTCTGGAAATTGGCTAGTTAGGAAGAGAATACTCATGCCAAGTCAACAACTTGAATAGGGACTATTTATCAAAATTTTAAACCAGTATATACTCAGAAGAATTGTAATTCTGGGAAATGATTTTGGACACATTTGCAAAAGTACAAAATACATAACATCAATGTCACAGGGGACTGATTAAGTAAATCTTGACACAAGCACTTGACGGCAGAGCACGCCAGCATTGAAAAACCAAGGACACCTGTGTGTGTGTGCTTGTAGACAATCTGAGATGTAAATTAAAAAGAACAAAATACAGAAAAGATATGATCTCTTTCGAATAATTTTTCAAAATAAGCTTTAGGAAAAAGGGGTACTAATGGACAAAGATTTGAGATAATGATTCTTCATTTCATTCCTTTCTGTAATATTTAAATTTTCTAACTACATGCCCAATTATTGCTCTTAATATAAGCCAAGTTTATTGAATTGTGGAATCAAACTCTTTTTTTTTCTTTTTACATTTTTCCACATTAGAAAAAAATACATTATTTTTTAAAAGGCACTGGATTTCTCAATTATTCCACAGAAACAACAGGTTTCTATTATGTATCAGAGCTTAACTGCAGGGCACCTGAATGGAAATCACTTTCCTAACTAACTCAATTACAGATAACTTCCAGGCCATTCTCAGCACAGTCCTGGGTAAATTAAACTGATGGAAGCAGCAGGCGACAGCGCCCTCTTGTGGGAAGAGCAGTGAACACACAGGGGTCATATTGGGTGAATTTTCTTTTCCTGACTGGGAAATACTTCTTAACTCTGGATTTCTGAATAAATGTCATAGAAACACTTAGCTATGTGCTTAGTTTTGCTGGAAGAATGAAGGCACTTATTTATAATTGCCTACATCTGGAGAGACAACTGCTGTCTCTATCATCACTTGTGTAAAAAGACTAGCTATTTTGAGTTGAGATGTGTTGAAAGCATTCAACAGTTTAACTCAAGGTAAAATCTGTTTTTCCTTCCAATTTACTTTATTAAGAACACTCATACTTCCTGAAATTTTCACTTCCTGACATCTCTCTAACTGAACTCTCTAAATTAGGTAACAAACTTATCACAATAGTAACAAAGCATAAGGCAAAGTTATTACATTTTCTAAGGCAGGTAGGTCAATTTCAACAGTACATGGGGAGAAAATTGCCATTAAAAATTACAACAGGCCCTCCCTGGTGGTGCAGCGGGTTAAAGAACAGCACAAAGAAGCTTAAGCCACTTCCGCATGAGTTCCATCCCCACCTGCCCTGGAGGAGATCCACAAGGCGTGGCAGACCTATCCTGACCCGCCCGCTGCTCCCCTCAGCAGTGTACTTCGTCGATCTGCCTGTTCTGCTCCCCGCTCTGTCTCTGGTGAAGCCTCTCACCCTCCGCATCTCTGGCCTGTACCCCAGCTTTGTACGAATAAATAAATAAATCTTTAAAAAAAAATTACAACAACTAAAAAACAATCATGACTTTTAATAGTCTGTTTTAACTGTCGCACACATATGTCTGTAAATAATTTTTGAAAAATGCTTTCATGATCACCCAAGGGAAAGCTGTTCAAAGAAAATGGTGAAAAGTGTGTAAAAATCATTTAATTTCAGGAAATTAGAAGACAAAGGCAGAAGATACTAGCTCTAGAAAAGCGCAGGCCAGGGAAGGATAAATAAAAGTAAGGATTAAGCATTTCACAAATTCAGGAAGGAGAAATAAAAGTAAGGATTGAGCATGTCACAAATTCATAAAGAATGAGATAAGTAAAGAATATTTTGTACCTAAGCACTAATCTGATTTCCTATGGAACAAATGCAAGTAAAAGAAGCATCAACAAAACCTTCAACAAAACGGAACTAACGTCCAAGGAGATGCCAGACAGCCGGCGGGGAGTCCTATTCCTGTAACACCGCACTTGTTCCCTGCAGGTCCTGCGCAATACGTGGCACAGGGGGTCTCAGGGCCCTCTCGTTCGAAGGTTCAGGGTTCAAGGCAAAAGGAGAGCCAATGGAAGTGCTGGCCCCACAAGCCATACCTGATCGGGACGCTGTCTCTGTGTCCATCATGAAGTGCTTCCACGCCTTGCTGCCATACTCCTCCGCCAGCGCCTGCGCAGCGACCATCTTGGTGCCGTGGCTCGCCCTGCGGAGGCAAGGAGGAGAGGTGAGGCACACTGCTCATCCATGGCTCATGCGGACGCTCCCCCCAGCACTGCCCTGCTGCAGGTAATCAAGTTTGCTTTTTTGTTTTCAGCTGGTGATGTCACCGCCAGGATCCAAAGAGGCATTTCCCCTGAAAGCTCTAGTTCTGCCTCCATTTCATCTACCGAATGATGGGAGCAACTCACACCATGGTCTTTGCTCTAGAATGTGGTGTGTAAACTATGAACTATAATTACTTTGAAAGAGATAAGAGGTACCAGCCTCCATTTAACTATGGAGGTGACAGTGAGTGACCTAACTGGGACGGTGGGAAAACAATGACCTGGTTGGTGGCAGGGTGCTCTGGCGGCAGGGGAACAGAGCAGCAGAGCTCTGGTGTGATCTGCGAGCCCAGAGGCCACACAGAGTGTCTCACACCTAGGCTCCTTGAGCATGGGGGACAGACACAAATCAGGGGAGCAAGCAGGTCTCGCAAGGATTCAACTGCTTGACAGTATTGCTCAAAACACAATGGGCAACAACAGAAGATGAATGTGGCAACACTTAGAACACAACAAGAAAGTAGCTGTTTTCCGCTAAATTCCACTTTTGCATCAGTAGGGCCAGGTTAAGGAAATTTTACCCTATAGGGAGCAGTTAGTATTTTATGTAGATTCTTATGAGAAATTACTAGATTAGGGAAGATCATTAGTCTTCTTAGTTATAGTAGCAAAGCAAAATGAAGGGTAAAACATGAAGTAAAAGCAAACAGGGGGTGGGGAGAATCTCAAACGGGCTCCTTTTAGTAAAGATGAAGGCCACAGAAAGCTCTATGTAAAGACAGAGGAACCCTGGGTGGAAAATAGGACCTGACAAGGAATTTGTGACAGTGGTGAAAACAGACACCAAGGCATAAAATAGGAGAAACTGCAGGTTGGTCAGGCAGACCTAGAATGGAGAGTATCAGATAATTGGGATGGGTGAACAAGGGGAAGAGACTGACAGACAGGCATGAAGATGAAGCAAAGAAGTACAACTGTAATGCTATTCATTCTTTTAATCATGATGGAGGACAGTGAAATACTCTAAAATACCACAAAAAACTGAAAGATCATAGTCAAAGCAGCATTATGTATGTATATATACAACCATACCCTATCTTGTTGCCAAGGAAACAATATGCAAATGAATAGCAAGAGTCAGATGTGATGGGGCCACATCTACTCTGGTTGGCTGGTCCTTTATGTGACGGTCTGCGGGGGAGAGTGTGAGTTTGGTGTAAAAAGGCAGAGAAGAAGAGGCCCCTGTGCTGAGCACTGTCTCCCTGGACTCAACTGGTCTGTATAAATGAGAAATGGCAGCGCTGCACAGCCATGCTGACCTGCCTGTGCCATCAGTGCTGGGGAATACAAATGCCTATCCCATAGAGTTCTCTGAAAGATGCAGAGCAGTAAGATCTGAAAGAGGCAGTAATGTCAGCTGGTTTTAGATTGCTGGCCCTGCTCTCACCAACACTTAGTGCTGGGCTCACCCTGAGAGCTCACCCAGGAGGTGGGGAGAGACTGACAAAGGATGACCAGTCTAGAAAATCTGCAAAAGAAGTTGAGATATAAATGCGTCCTGCATTATGGGGGGGATTTGGATAAATGGAGGAAGAAAGTTAGTGCAAAGATCACTAACTCCTCCCCACATTAATTTTCTCCTCCCTTCATAAAAAGAACTCCTGATTTCTTCCAGACACCAACAAACCCACCCAACACAATATAATTTCCATAGTCGTTGACAGTGGGAATAGTCAAGGAGATGAAGCACGTTACTAATATTCTACTGTGTTTCATGCAAGTATTTCTGAAAAGCTAAATTTAAGGAACTAGATTTTTCGGTCCAATGCTCTCAGATTTGCATTTAAACTGTTCAAACAATTCATACTAAAAGTGTACAGGCATATAGAGAAACTCTTCTGATTGGCTAAAATAATTATCTTACTTGACATCCCTTAATTCAAGTGATATATAATAATGAAGCGTCCTAAAAAGTAAAAAGTTTTAAGTTCACAACTAATTATTACCTGAGCACAGTGCCATCATCTGCCAGTTTAATGAAGCTTCCATCTTCCAGATCCAATGCCAAGCCCTTGCAACTAAAACAGAAATGTCTAATTACCAACCAATTCATGTATTTTACTAATCCTACAAATTATAATCCACATCTTCAAAAACTTGAAATGCCAAAAAGGGATTCTCCCACACAAATAAATGCTACTATTAATTAAATTAATGAGACTACCCACGAGTTCTAGAGTGCGTATCATCCACAGAACAAGTATATAAGGAAAGGTGTAATGTGGGCAAATAAAGAGAATGTTTAGTTTGTAATACCCTTAAGCTTTCAATCAGAGAAATTTAAAACTCGGAGAGAACAACAACAACCCCCCCCCAAAAAAAAAAAAAAAACAAGCATTATGTAAATGTCAAGATGTGCAAATGTTTTTCATTAAATATAACAAACACACATTTGGTAAGCTCTTAGCCAGAGCTCTTCTATACTCTATAACGTACCTCAATTTAGGTCATGTTAAGAACTTAGCTGCTGGGTAAGACATAGTGTTGAAAGCCACTAAATGAAAGTCAAATACTAAGTTTTAGACTTCGCTACTATAAAATACTTGTGGGATTTGAGGAGAAAAATGGGTACAGATTCAATATTATGAATAATAAGAGCAAGGAGGTGGAATAGCCCTAAAATACCAAGAGAATAAATGAAAAGTGACAGGGTACTTTAGAAACACTATTTACTTTGCTCCACAAAAAACTTCCTAGTCAGCTGTTTTAGAGAATAAAATGTTTCTGTTTCTTCCTTTTACAAAAGGGCTAACTCAAAAAACAAACACAGAAGGAAATGTATAATAGATGAACATCACTGCTCTAGAATTACTTCTGCATGTATTTTTTATGTATTTTAGGATTAATTTTTTTTTTTTTAAGATTTATTTGTTTATACAGAACTGGGGTACAGGCCAGAAGCTTAGGGGCGGCGAGAGGCTTCACCAGAGACAGAGCAGGGAGCAGAACAGGCAGATCGACGAAGTACACTGCTGAAGGGAGCAGTGGGCGGGCCAGGAGAGGTCTGCCGCGCCATGTGGTCACCTCTGGGGCAGTCGGGAATCGAACTCATGCGGAAGTGGCTTTAGTTTCTCAGTGTTGTGCTTTAACCCGCTGCGCCACCAGGGAGGGCCGGATTAAAATAATTTTTAACTGAGCAATTTAAAGTGGTTTAGTAGGAGCTTTTTAAATTCTTATTACTCAAATGTGGAAAAATTGCAAAGTAAGCCTTGGGGAGCTGAGATCCAAGGCAGGGGGTCTGCACTAAGAGACTTAGCGCAAGGAATGTCTATCCAAATTACAGAAAACCTCGAGGTTTTAATTTAGATATCTATTCAAAACATGAGCATTTCTCCTCCACTCTTTCAGTTCTTATGTGAAAGGCAATAAAGCAATTTTTTAAAAGATGTAAATTAGGAAGCAGGGACAATTCCTAATAGTATTTGAAAATCTTTATAACCATACTTGATCCACACCAAAAAAAACCCAAATTGGACATATCTGCTCTAGTTTATGTTCATAATCAGGCAAATCTAAACTTAAAGTAGAAAGTTAATCCATTAAACATAAAACTTTTAGTATAGAGAGCATTTCTGTTCTTCACACACCTTCAAATTTTACTCTCTGCCTCTATAGAAGAGGAAACATTATAGTTTTACCAGTAACAATTGAGAATGAAAAGGAATATGTATGCAGAGCTTAGAAAAAGAACCTACCAGAAGTCCCAATCCTCTGGAGTCACAGTAAGCAATTCCTTGTCATACCCCTTCTCCTTGACGAGGAACTGGGCAAAGCTATTATAAATGAGCTATAAACAAGGGGAAGGAAAAAACAAAGGTTAACTATAAAATTCACTAGTCATTCTTAATTTCCAGACCTGCAAACCTAATGGAATTCTGATGGGGAGTGGGAGAAAGATATCTGTAATTGCTAAAGTCTGAACTTAATCCCCCCCACAAGGTAATTCATCTATACCCCCCACGAAGTTGTTATGTTTTGTTGATACTCCAAACTTACACCATCAGTATAAAATTACATAACCAATGACAACTACTAATCTTACTCCAGAATTCTAATGTGCTGGAGATCATTAAGACTTAACAAAGCTTTATAAACACATTTAATACATCACTAAAATAACACATTGGCAACTCTATCATTATACCCATTTTTAGTCAAAGGTACCGTCTCAAATAATAAATTCTTAAATTGTGACCCACAAATGGAGGCCACCTCAGTCGTCTGCTCAAAATCACCAGTCTTAGCCTAGTCAGCCTGCACTTGTGGGAAACACCTGGGGAAACCTCACCCCAATTATAATGCTCCAGCCCAATTTTAGCTCGTCTTCCCCCTTAAAACTCAGGATCTGGCAGCTTTATAAGGAAACCTCTGACCTTCTAGCCAGCCATGCCCTGTTTTCCCATTGCCTCTTCCAAGGCTATAAAATGCACGCTTGCCAAGTATCTCTTGGGGAGAGTGCCCCACTGTTTGTGAGGCACTTTACTCCCCAACCCAGGAATAGTTTTCCCTGGAATAAAGAACATGAAACTCTTTACTAAATACCTTTAGTTTTGCCATTTGAAAGAGGGGAGTTTCTACATGGGGACCAGGTGGTCGATGTAAAGGAGGAATCGTGGCACCTCCATCAGATAAAGGAAATAGCTCTTATTTTTTCACCATATGAAAAATATAGGAAAATGGAGGGAAGAGCTTCTGGAAACAAGCACAAAGATGACTGTTCTGCTGATGTCAACAGATCTTCTAATTTCCCAACAGCAAAAATTCTGAGATTTTTGAGTAAAACTTCTTTTTTTTAAAGAGCTGGTTCAATTTTTAAATAATGGTACGTGGCAAACAAATGGGCTAAAAGTGATGAAGATCTACATTGGCCCTATCCCCTTCTTCATCAGAAGAGTGTCCTAGGTCAGCTTAGATATACTTGGAGGTGAGGGAGAATAGTGGTTTGGGATTAGACTGACATTGTCCAAGAAGTTTGCTCTGGAGATGTCAACCCATGAGAGCTGCTGAGAGCATGGGACCTGCACAGGGAGGAGAGGGTAGAGACACATTTCAAAAAGAATGGGAGAAGGTGGTGATATTTCCACAGATACCGACAAAATCTAGCACATAATTTCGTGAATGGGGCAGGGGTTTCAGGTCCAGAAACCCAATGTAGATTGGGCTGTCACGGGAGATGAGTGTGGAGAAACCAAAGGTCTTGTCAATTAGAGCTGTTCTTTGTTGTTAATGAAAATCAATCTATATGTACTCCCATGCAGTACATGAACTGCATCCAGGTCAACTGTTAATAAATGCACATTATATCATCACTATATAGCAACATTTCTCAATCCTGACAGTGATTCAGACCAGAGATAGTCTTTAAGCCACCTGGGAATTCTGAGCCTACAGGATTGAGTGGAGTCCAGGTGAGGTACCACCTGAGGTACCAGATGATTCCTGAAGTACAGAGATGGCTTATATTATATGGGTTTTACTCAGTCCAAAAAGTGCTCCCGATAGAAAATGTTGAATCACCCTGATCTACAAAATACTACAGTCAATACATACTTGTAGTGATCCATCTGCAAGGAACCAGCGTTTGAGATTAACTGATAAAAAGAATTTAGAGCCAGGCCTAATGAACAAGTAATTCAACTTAAGTAGTTGCTATCATCAGTTCTGTTGTGATAAAAAAGAGGAGGGGGTGGGGGGGCAGGTCCTACTTGTAGCTTTTGCTTATTTCCATGGTATACTGCCACCCAGGCCAACTTCACATTGCCAGTAGTTACCAGACACTACCAGACTTGCCACTGATCAAGGCAGTTTATTTAGTCTGAGCCAACGGAATGTCTCACCACTTGGCAACACTAAGACATGGGTATGTGGTGCCAATGACGTCAGATTCCTGCCCAAAGAGAAAGGCGCTACCAATAGGGGATGACCCTGTGTTCCTCACCTGGAGGAGCCGCTTCTGTGCATGGAGGGAATGAGGCCAGTGCGCCTGGAGAAGAGAGAGCCACAGTGCTAAGAGTCCTCTGTGCCTTTGAAACCCCTGTTCTGGTACCAAGTTCTTGGAACTTTGCCTTAGATTATGGTGAGTCATCCCAGAGGCCTTCATGGCACAGGCTTCTGTGTCCAGTTTCTTCCTCTCCTAGCCTTAGGTGCCAGTTTACCTCCCCATAAGGCTGAAAGTCACATACACTCTACAGCAGTTGAAACTGGTGCCCTGTGAGTCACAAATCATGCATGTTCCACATGCAGGGTTGCCAGTTATAATGTGAAATACTGGGGTTTACAGGATTAAAGCTCAGTCTCTTTCTAGCCTGGGACACAGGGATGGGAAGTTCTGGCAGATAGGGGAAGTCAAGAGTTACCTTGGGACCAGGCCCTGAAAGCTTGGGCACGTAAAGAAAGCAAAGGTCCGTCAGTGAAATAGTTCATAAAGCCCAGTGAAACTGGGGCAGTTAAAGGCTGATGCAAATTCTAAAGGGAAGCAGGGACTAATTACTTTAATAGCCTTTAGCACAGCCCAGCATTTGAGAGACAGTCTACAAATGTAGAGTGCAAGCTAGAGTCAAACTTTTCTTTCAGTGACCAGATGCATTTTCTCATCTCACCCCCCGCTTCTCCATAAATAATTCAATAAATTCACCTTTTCTACTTTCTGTGCTATTTCTGATCAATTCTTTCACCACCCTCTTTCTGTCTTCCCCCACCCCCATGTTGGTGTCCCCTCATGGCTATTATCTCCCTCACATGGCATGAACTACCTAAGTTTGATTTACAGTTACAACTCATAATTTTTTAGAATAGGCACAACCCATGCAATATTTGGACATACCTACACTAAAAATGTTTTTTGTTATTTGAAGTTCAAATTTAACTGGATGACCTGTATTTTTCTTTGCTAAATGTGGCCATATATATATATATATTATTATTATTATTATTATTATTAAATCTTTGCTATAATCCTGCTGCTTAAAATTCTAACATTTTGGCAAGGATGTGGTGAAGAAAGAACTCTTGTACACTGCTGATGGGAATGAAAACTATTCCAACCACTATGGGAAACTGTGTGGAGATTTCTTAAACTGCTAAAAATGAAGGTTTCATATCACTCAGGAATTCCACTCCTAGGGAACTACTCAAAGGAACACAAAATCATTAACATAAAAGAATACATACACCCTATATTTACTACAGCACTATTTATAAAAGGTAAAATGTAGAATCAACCCAAATACCCAAAAATAGATGAATGGATCAAGAAGATGTGATCCATATACACAATGGAATACGATTCAGCAATCAAAGAAGATAAAGTAATGCCATTTGCAGCAACATGAATGGAGCTAGAAGGGATTATGCTCAGTGAAATAAGTCAGAAGAAAAAAGAAAAAAAAAAGATGGTTTTACTTATAGGAGGAATATAGAAGATCTCAGAAAAAACAAAAAATAAACAGACAACTATCAGTCAGGGGAGGATAGGAAAGGGATCAAAGGAAGGGTGGGAAGAGCACAAGGACTATGGTGCACAGGTGAATTGGTGTAGGGACTACATCTGAAAAAAGAAAGCAAACATTGTATAAAAATGAACAATGAGGTGGCTCTCCCTGGAGGCATAGGGGGTTAAAGAACAGCACCAAGAAGCTAAAGCCACTGCAGCATGAGTTCCATCCCTGGCTGGGAGGTGACCCATATGGCACGGCAGACCTCTCCTGACCCGCCCACTGCTCCCCTCAGCAGTGTACTTGTCAATCGGCCTATTCTGCTCCCCACTCTGTCTCTGGTAGATCCTCTCACTGCCCCTGTACCTCTGGCCTGCACCCCAGCTCCATATGCCTAAATAAATAAATAAATCTTTAAAAAAAATGAACAATGATGTAAAGTATATATAAATATGTAAATTATGTATTTAATTTAAAAATAAGCTAACATTTAAAAACTAAGACATTTTTCATCCAAATTTCAATTTCTCACTTCTCTTACAAAGAATTCTAAAGGAAGACTGAGTTTCTCCCTCATGCCAAATGCTGGCAGGAGCCCAGTGTAGCTGGGTTTCTGAGCCTGGCTATTCCAGATCCTCTCCCACTCACAAGTTTAGCTTAACTGTCTGGCACTAAAGACTTCTCAGTCTGCAAGCCAGGAGAGCACAGCGGTCATTACATCTAGAATGCCTTTCCTGAGTGATACCCCCTGCCCCTACATACACTCAGATCAGCTGACAAAAGTTCCATGTTTACACAAAACGCTATATTTACTAAATGCTCACAAGGCTGAAGTGAGAGATACTCACTTCCTTCCTGATGCAAACACTACTAACTTCTCCAACTTCTCCAGCATCTTCTACAGCTCTCTTGTCTCCTGCTTGCTCCCCAGGGTCAGGGGCTGCTCACCTCTCTGTTCTCCAGGCCCTGACCTATTTCTGTCTGAAATAATGCTTTCTATCTCTTCACCTGCTGACTACGACCCTTCTGTTAAGCCCCAGCTCAAGCATCACTGATGCCAGGATTCTCTGAGCTTGGCAGCACTACCCAAAGCATGGCAGTGGGAGAGCAGAAACCTACCAGCCAAACACCCTGCTAGGTGACCCTTTTTGTGCCTCTGTCATCATCTCAAAATTGAGATTGTGTTGACAGGTAACATCTACCTCACAAGGTTATTCTAAGAATAAGTCAGTTTATGAGCAAAATGCTGTGATATGTTCAGCTATTAAAACAGCTATTATTCAATCATCCCACAGTTATTTATTAAACCCACTCAGCTCTGCATACAGCACTCACAATAAACTTCAGGTAACAAATGTCAAGGAATCCTGGCCCTAGGGGAATTCTCTAATAAGTAAGCAAGAAATGTGAAAATTGTATGCTAAATGCTATGAAAAACTGAAGAATTTTATGGGAAACTGGAGGTGGGATGGAGGTACGAGGATAAACTTCAGGAGGCCGGGAGGGCTTCCCAAAGGGAACACTGCAAGATGAGGCCTGAGGGATGAGGGACTGGTGTAGAGAGGAGGTGTGCAGGCAAGGTCCAGGGGGCTGACAAGCTCTTCAGGCATCCTTGCCATCACAAGACCCCTGAAAGGCCAGGATGTTATCTCTATACCAGCAACTAGCACAGTGCTCCTAAGATGCTGGTGCTTAATAAAAGATTTCAGAACCAAACAGAATCCAAAACAAACTATATTCGTTTTCAACATTTAAGTGTCATTTGTATTTGAGGTTTGAAGTAAAGAACCCCAGGGGTATATATTCCGAAGTTTTGTGCTTACACATGCACAAAATGGGCCCCAAAATGACAGTGACTTTCGCAGTATTGTTCTCGAAATGAATGTGACTAGAGAGGAGATACAAGAAAACAAGAAGCAAGAGAGGACTTGAAAGGCACTAAGGAAAATATGACTAAAACCTAGAGGAGCTAGTAACTCAGAGACGAAAAGTAAAGCCTTCAGAACTCTCAATATGACTAAGGAAACCTCTCTAGAGTAGGAACACTACTGTACACTATCAGGAAGAATACGAATACCCCCCCCCCCATATTTAGTGCCTTTGCAGAGAAAACACACGATAAATTCAGACTTTGTTTTCACCCTTAGCAGGAACCTGAACTACATACACATGGGGCACTGACCTTAACAAAATGAGGAACAACCTTGGCTGATGTTGGGGAACTTGAGTTCTACCCATAAATGGAGATAAAGGGAATGGGCAGTGGCCACACAAGCAAACAGCTGTGCTGTAGGCATGATACAACAATTACCCTTTTATTCCTTTACCTTTAGAGGTAAATCCAATTATTAGACCCATTTTCCAGATAGGAACACTGAGTCACCTGCCCAAAATGACAGAGCTAGTAATAGTAGTGCCCTAACCTAGACAGTCAGGCTTGCAGGGTCCTTTGCCTGGGTGCTCCACTTTGACTGAAACATTTCTGCGAACTTTTCAACATCCTGGTGAAAGCAAAGTAATGGGGGAGGAAGTTCAATTCACTTGAGAATACAGGTGTGGAATCCTACAGGCCTCACTCTCTCCTCGCTCTCATAGAGAAGCAAGAACCCAAGCTTCGCTGGCTGTTAGGTTCAGTGGACTTGGAGCATTTAATCGGTACCCAGTAAAGGTCTATTTCTTTCTCTTGGTAAAAGACAAAATAGAGATTGGTCTATTAGTCGCAGTGGGTTTCTGCTAATATTCTCTCCAACACATCACACAATCTCTCACTACAGGCGATGTCAAACATCCGACAGGTGGCCAACGACGAGCAAAGGGAAAAACGCAGCCAAGCCAATTACAAGCCCCTAACCAGGTGGCGGTACCCGGGGGGTTGATGCACAGAGGGACTTGCTGAGAAGTTCCCAAGGCCAGGCTGGATCTGCAAAGGATACCCCGGATCCCCTGGCCCCGCCCATCCTCCTCTGCACCAGGAACGGTTTCCCAGCCCGACCTGGCATCTCGCACAATCGGTCCCTCCTTCGCCCCTTTTCTTTCCTCCCCTTCACGCCAACTTGGTAAATGGTTGGGCTATGAAGGCCCCTCCACGCCGGCGTGGGCGGGAGGAGGCGCACTTCCGCCCCGCCGAGGCGAGGCGCCTGCAGGCCCCCGGCCGCCCCCGGCCGTCCCCGGCCGCGCTCGCCCCGCCACAGCCGGAAGGAAACTCAAGCCCCGACCGCCATGGAGTCGCGCCGGGCAGCTTGCGCCACTCACCCGGGCGCTCTCGGGCAGGTTGTAGCGACATAGAGTGTGGTCCAGATCGAAGCCGACCACGTCGCAGGCGGCCAGGGAGAAGTGCTGCGCCATGGCTGCGCTGGGAACCCAAACAAGTGCTCCGCGAGGGAGCGTGCGAGCCGCGCGCGGGCGGGACACTACGGAAGG